ACTGCCACTTACCAGAGAACAAGAAACTGCAAATATGCAACCCCCATCACAACTCATGATGTTCTCTTTAGAAATCAACAGTTCCGTGTTAAAGTAGTCATTTTGATCCAACACTATCTCTTGAACTTATCCAGACTGTGCCCAATAAAGATCCACGGATACCCTTCCCTCATTAACTGGGATCACTTTATAAGCTCGAAAACTATGAATAAGGCAGAGAAAAAAAATGAAAAGTAAGCAGAAGAAGTACGAAGTCATTCACCATAGAAATAACAGGACTTTAGACTTTTTAAAACTAATATCGCTTTTTGTTTTTTGAGTAAAGAGAAACACATCAGCACAATTATAGGCATTTAGTGCTAGGAAAAAGTAAGACTGACAGACAGACACAGAACAGAGGGAAAGTGAAGAAGTAAGACCTACTAGTGGTGCCCTCCAATCACCCGCTAAAAGAAATTGCAAAATTAGAAGTCACAGGCTTTTTGACTTCCAGATAATGATAAAAAATTGATATTTGAAATTCTACATCCATTTTGGTCTGCTATTATTTTTCGAGCCCTGTACTCTATGCAATATCAAATTCTACTCTAAATCCTACTCTTAGGAAAAAAAAAAACTGAATAAAATTGAATTTCAAAGAACAAGATAATTGTTGTGTTATAGATACAACGTCCCTTACAACACTGTCCCGTTATTTAAGAGTCAGGGCCTTCAAATTAAACGTCCATCTCTGACGGGAGCAAGCAAAATGGGTGGGGAGCCTTTAAAACTCCCTAAAACAACCCAAATGCAAGAATACCCTATTGGAAATTCAAACCAGGGCCATCTGCTCTATAGTCTGACATGATACTAACAAAGCTCCCCCCCCCCCCAAAAAAAAGAAAGAAAAGCCAAAAACGTGAGTTCGGTTCCGATGTCTTGAAAAAAATTTGTTGAGCCTCACACAGCTCAAAGGGTCCCTGATAAATATCTAAATTATCTAAATCTTGTCACTGAGGGTGAAGCACACATACTTAACATCAGCTGCTCATAATGCAATCAACTGTGTTCAACCTACTTGGCGTTGCTTAATTTTTGTTGATCCCAAGAAAAGTGCTTCGTGTGTCCTAAGAGAAGCCTCCTATTGCTATAGTCCCGTGTACTGCTAATGTGTTAAAACCAACCTATTGTGTTTTTTTCTGTTTGGAAAGGCGTTTTTTTTTAGAATATTGAGTGGGCAGGCAATACAAGTTTTCTGTTTCAACCTTTAGGCTAAGAGCCAAGTATCACAATGTAGCCTGAACCCTTCTATAATGTTCAGTCTAAGCGACCTCTGGATCTAGTTGAAAAAAAAATCAGAGAAAATTCACATAATATGTTGTGGTCCGCTACAACTGACCAAAATTATTGTACCTGGTTACTGGGTCACCACCCCCCCCCCCCGTAACCTGGCTTGACCTCGCAGCGAGCCGGAAGAATCGTTTTCCTACATAAAAAGATCCGGTATCGAGGACACGCGACTTGGTGCGCTTCTCATCTCTCCACCTGTCTGTGTCTGTGTGTGGGGTCATCAGCGTGGCGGGGGAAGTGTATATTGCAAATTCTGGAACCCCTCCCCCCTTTTTCCTCGCAAGAAAATCTCAGACTCTTGTTTCTTCTGTGTTTCTGTGACCTCCCAAGAATGAATGTCAAGATTGTTTATCGTCATATAATTTGAACACACTTAATTTTCATGCCACAATACCCCCCCCCCCACCTTATTGTGCCAATGAACAACAGCACTGTAGTTAATAAAACAACTTCATAAATGATGCACGTGTCTTTCTTTCACTTTTCAGGGGGCGGGCATCTTGCGAGGTAACGGCAGCCTTATCTTCCCACCCACG